TCGAGGAGAATCATGATGGACGGACGTGTGCAGTGAGGGTAGCTCGGGTGGACACACACGCGCAGCTGCATGATTTTTTTATCGTAGTAATTCGGGATGACCGAGATTAAAGCGAAGAGATGAAAGAAGTTGAAAGGGAGCGACGGAGCAGCAAAATGGAAAATTCACTTAAGTGGTGATAAAGCTAAAAAGTAGCCAGCACAGGCCTTGAGCAGGCGCGCACACCTTGCATATCCAGAAGGTCGCCTGCCGCGAAAAAATTCAATTACCGGCGGCATTCGCAGCGAAACGAAGCAATCAGAGCGCAGCTGAATAATAATCGAGCACTTTTTTTTTGAAAAGTTTGTTTAGCCCTCACTGCACCAGCACCACAGCTCTTTATGTCAAATATTGATGTGCTCGCAAAGAGGAAAAGACGAGCATGACTGAGGGACAGGCGAGGAAATGCTGCTACTTTCTTACCATCAAGAAGTTTTAAGATTTCGATGGCCACACAGGTCTGAACGAGTCAACAGAGCGGAAACTAAAAGCATCTCAAAAGAACAAACAAATAGCATTTTTCCGTGTTGGCAGCGCATTCAACCCCAAAGCAAGGCTAAAAACAGTTTGGAGGCCAGGATGAATAAACGGCCATCCTCTCGGTGACTGATACATTCGCTTTTCATCCACTGGAGAAACTGTCAGTTTGGTCAAATTAATGCCTCTCTGGTAGGCTAATTCTGCTTTTGCAACTGCTTTCTCTCCCGCTCTCCTCAAGCAACCAGCATCCTCGAGCAATGAGTACTTTTTGCTTACCCTTAAATACTAAATTCTACAATCTTTGGCAAATTTTTGTTCTTGTATGATACGTGTTTTAGATGAGAAACAACGAGCTGAAATAAGTTTCAGAAATTTGGCGGCTAGTTTACAAGCACAAAATTTACAGGTGGTAGGAAAGTGGCAAAGAGATACCGCATCCATAACAAATTTAAAGAAGCAAACGAAGAAATCTTTAGGTGTACGGTAATCGCCGAAAGCAAACATGCAAGTAAAAGAATAAGTGTGAGCTGGCCCTTCAGAACTTTTTCAAAATTTCATTTCTCCTAG